TTATGCATGTAACCAGCTCAAGAAAGCAAATACCAACCACTATTTTCTTCCAGATTCTAACCAACCTCTTGATGTTGTCCCATCCTACAAATACCTTGGTGTCATCCTCTCTAATGACCTAACCTGGACCAAACATGTAAATTTTGTTCGTGCCAAATGTTGTAGACTTGCTGGCTTCTTACGACGCACTGTAAAATCCAAAAATGCTAAAGTTCTAAATAAGTTATATTGTTCTCTTTGTAGGCCCATCTTAGAATATGCTGCACCGGTTTGGCTACCTCATCAGAAAAACCACATCCAATGCCTTGGGACGATCCAACGTCACTTCACCAAGTCTTGCTTCCCTACAGTATTGCTATTTCCTTTTCCTACGAAAAACGTCTATCCAAACATCATTTGCCTCTCCTCTACAACAAACTTGTACACCTCAGTGCTTTGTTTGTCATTAAGTGTCTTTTCAACAACATTTCTGTTTCCTCACATTTTCTTCCGCAGGCCAACACTAGAAAAACCGACACCCTTCTTGTCAAGCACCAGTACAGTCGAACAAATTGTCTCAAATTCTTTTTGTATGCCCTCTTTCCCAGATTTATCAATTCTCTTCCCTCCGATGTCCGAGAACTCTGCATTAAACTTTCCCCTAAATCCTTCATCAATTCTTTGCATATTATCTTTTCAGTCTGAACCCCATTTCTCATCCTTTCTAGAGTTTCACTCCCAAAGTATTTTCCTCCAGCCCTCACCACCTAGTATTTACCCTATCATTTCTTTGCCTCTTTTTCTTTTTACATTTTTTTCTAATGGCTTAATATTTCCAAAAAATATAGTTTTATTTTTGCCAGCCTTCAGTTATATTATTCGGAATTATATATAAATCTAATTTACATTCTATAGTTTTCTTTTTTGTATTTGTTTAGATATTTTGCTATACTTAGTGCTTTTTTATGTCGCCAGCCTTAAGCTATATTATTTGCATTTAAGTATAAATCTGATTTACATCTTGATAAACTATATCTGTAAATAGTCACATTTCCTATATGTTTTATCTAGTTAGTTAGGAGAGCCCCTCGACAGAAACTTGTTTCTTTGGGTAATCCTGCGGGAACTGATTGGGTATTATGTTTCTGTTATGTCTATTGCAGTTTTTGTTTTCTTGTCTGTAATTTATTGTATGTATTTTCCCGAAAAATGAAATAAATGAAATGAAATGACATCACTACACACAAAAAACCCTGTTTGGAAGGTTGATGTTGAATTCAACTAATATCGGGCTCGTTTTCCACAGTATCCCCGACGTATTAATACTACAGCATCAATACGTGCCGATATCAATTCATGACGATAGAACTGATGGGCATGGCGGCTCGAAAAATGGGGTTCAGCACCGATCATCAGCACCAAGAAGACAACATAGGGGAGTGCATACATAACTGGCTTAGTATTCAGCATTGCAAAGTACCCAGGTGTGACATTCAACAATGGTAGAAGCAACGGGTGTGGCCTTTCAACAATAGCAGAAATAACTCGAAACTTGTCATGCAACGATGAACCAAGGCAATCATGGACGACACACTACGCCAACTCACACACGCACAGTCAAACACATCATTAGTACTGCATCAGTACCTTAGGCCTAATAGTTAAAATACCAGGGCACAGATCTGAATCGTTGATACTGCACTTTCATCAATAGTAAGAACAGAAGAGTCGATTTTTCCGAAGACAGCTAGCAATGTGACATGGCACTCAAACGGAGGATTCAAAAAAAGGACAGTAGAATAAAAAATTATATAAGTTTTAGGGAGTTCATCAAAGCAAGAAGACACCCAAACACAAAAGAGAAACAAGTATACTCACAGTAACAGCTTAATAAAAACTTAACAGAAAAACGTGAGCGACTTAACTGCGTGTCAGCAAGTTAGGCGTCATGTTTGTAGATTTTGCAAACATTTTATGCACTATTAGCTCGATGTCCTTATATTTCAGCTAGTTGCCACTTTAAGTGAACAAAGTTGAGATATAGAGTCATTACGTTCTATTGTCCTATCGACGATATCCAAGGTTGTGATGTTAGCAATACCTTGCCGGATACACATAATAGGCTCATATAAACTCAGACAATTCTGGACAAAAGTGTTGGGACACGTGTCAAAAGCCTTTGCAGGTCTCCCGCTCCCCCGGTCAATGTTGTCATCTCGAGCTGGAGCCCAGAGCGCGTATTGAGACCCAACATTGAGAGGGAGCCATGAGGGGGCAACGAGCTTTGGCCAGGATTGTAAGATTAAGGTTTATGATAATAGGCAAGTCCCCGGACATAATGATGTTCTGCCTAAAAAAGAAGCCTTCAGCTGGGACACCGGCTGGTACACCCGGAAATTCACAGCCTTCTCTGTCTATCAGGTATGTGCATTCTAGTTCGCCGGAAATGACTTTTATCTTGGTTACGCCCGCGCCGATCAGTTCCCCCCGACCCGATTGCAACTCCTCATCCCATCATCAATTTCCGTATGCGTACAGACAAGGCCAGAAATACCCGAACATCAACGATGCTATCCGAATGTGGATGGGACATCGAGTTCGCAATATTTTGGCTATTTTTGGAAACTGGAGAAATTCGTCCAGTTTTGATCACATGGACTTTGGGTGATACTCGACCCAAATCTAGTTGGAATCATAGGGTCTGGTATCTGGACTAGCTGCGCCCATGCGTACACACTATCGCTGTTAGAGGGCACTATCTCCAGACCAACTGATATCCTCCACGAACCACAGACAGATAAATGCGTTTACATGTCTGTGCACGAACCCAAGTAAATATGGCGCCCTTTGCCAGCATCGATCCATTTGGGCGAAAAGCAATGCGACTTAAGAACTTGGGAACCAAGACGTTCGTGTGGTACAAGCATTACTAAAAGGCCTAAGCATTAGCCTAAAACACTGTTTCTAACGCAGACGTTATTACAAATATGTCATTTATTTGCACAATTAAACTTGAACTTCCAACGCTGGACATAACCGTCACTGCTGAAAAGACCAAAGGGTCAACTTACATGTATGCTATACCTTGTCCCGTTGCAATAGTTATCCATAAAAGCAAACTACAGCCTAATTTTGCAATGAAGCGTCAAGGATGTAAAAAAAACCATGAGACACATAGACTGGCAAGGTACAGATTGACATTTCTAATGTCCAATTCATGCTGTAAAAACTGCTAACTTTGCGTAAGCACACTGCAGTTATAATTATCTGCATACGCAGTCGCGGGCGTATAAATTGGATTGCAATTTCGTGCCTGTCCCCATTCCCAAAAGTGTGTAAAAGAAAAAAGATACAATTATAAACGCGCAAAGCATTTTCGGTTACTTTCTGTACGGATTTTTTGCATGTTAATTCAACACGCTGTTTAATGAGCAAGCTGGTGTTCGTTGATCCTTGTTATTATTTAAGAATTCTATCAATGACAGTTTACAAAAACCACATCATGCCTACCGTCAATATTGTCGTGCACGACCAAATTCACGAATCGCTCTCTGGTCGCCAACATTGCCGTCAATATTCACGACTCACTCTTCAGTCGCGAGTATTGACGTCAATATTTGCGACAAAATTCACGACTCGTTATATCCCCGGTGGCAATTATTGCAGCAATTTTTTTCCAGCAAGCTGCAGTGGAAATGAAATGTTCACGCGCACGCGCAATAACCTACATTTGTCGGCTTGATCTCAAGTCGTTGTTCGGCTTTGCAGTTTTGGCACACTGCATGGGTCACAATGTTAAAAAGTAAGTGCTGTGTCTGTAGCCGAGTAACCTCTCTCTACCCTGGCTTGCTGGAAAAAAATCGCGGCACAATTTGCGACCGGGGATACAGCGAGTCGTGAGTTTTGATCGTGAATATTGGCGTCAATATTCGCGACTGAAGAGCGGGTCATAAATTTGGTCGCAAATATTGACGTCAATATGGGCAATGTCCCTCCGCGGCCACCATACTTTACCCTTTCCGGCGCCCTACAAACAACAAACCAGCCGGCCAGCTGCCCTAAGCCCACCCGCATCTACTCACCTCGCCAGAATGTTTCTTGCCTAATCAATGCCCACCAGGGAAACAGTTCCGAAAAATGTAATGGGTTTGGCTGAACAGGAAAGAAAAGAACGAAACAAAATACAATAAACACAGAACTGAAATGAATGGCAAAAAAGCTTGTCATTGCAAAAACAAATGAAACAAACAAATAAATAAATAAATCAACTCGATTTTTAGTACTATGGCAATTGGCAAAGAGGCGAATTTATTATTTTCAACATGATGTCCGGGGACGAAACAGAAATTGTCTGATTTTCCTTTAATTATAATATAATACTCTCTCATAGACTAAGCAAGGGCCAAACAAAAGATTGACCAGCAAGGCCAGGAAAAAATCTGTTGCTCCTTTTGTGTAAGGCTGCCCTACGCAAAGCATGTAAACAAACAGACAAACAAGCTCGCTCACTCGCTGACAATATTAGGGTAGTGCAAATAATACTGGACAATCTAATATTGTAGGTGATGAAATCCAATCTTGCTCTTATAAAAATAACACTATAGCTCTCGGTTGCCAACAGTTACTACGACATAAACCATGACAGAATTAATAAATACATGTAAATGGACTATATTAATATAAATATATTAAAATACACAGTAAAAAACACATTATATTCAGTTTACTATCATTAAAAGAAGCGAGAGAAAAGAAAAATGGTTGTGGTCAAAGCAGCTTGAACGGGACAAACGTTTTTAAGATGTTGCACATGACCCGTAATGATGTCCTCTTTAGGGACAAAAACTTAATCCTGTTTCAATAAAATTCTAATCCGAGTGACTATCTTGGCTTTTTTATACAACACTACCCCATGCTGCTCTATTCGCCAACCTCCATCGCTGAATCGATTCGGTGTTCAGTCATCCGTATTAGCGGCTGTATATCAACACTGTAAATGCTCATGTACAGCTTAGGTACGCTCAACCCATCGATGGCCAAAATCTAGATGCCAAGGTTTCACGCAATTATTTGTCGCTATAGTAACCATTCTTCCATTCTGAATTCAATTCAGTTCCAAGAGATCGTGTATGACCCCGGGGATCTGCCTCCGGGGTGATTCTCTATACATTCGCCCGAGTGCGTGTGGACGCAACGTTCCTCCCAAATAAGATTCACGCAGTCATTCTTGCTGCAACTGCATTTCCTACATCATGCACCATTGGAAGCATCGCCAGGAATCATTACCTGAGGTCGGACGGTGGCAACGAGAGCAGTCGCATACGGCTCCACTTTGTATGTTTCTGCTCATTCCCATTCACCACAAGTACGCATCAATGCATCACACAGCAGGATTGCCTCAGAGATACCTGTGCTTTCGACGATAGGATCACCAAGCTGATGTACCCAGCTGAACAAGGCACTGAACACCATCGATACTTCTTCATAATTAATTTGCCCATCGTTTGTTTTTGAGCGAAGGATCTTGTAATTCCTGGGAATATAATCAGGACAGTGTAAACGGACTGGATGTTTGCCTTAGTACATGTCTGCCCCTGCTAAAATCGAAATGTCTGTCAGCTATACACACTTTCAACTGGACAACAGAGGCTCTCCAAACTTATGGAATCTAACCAATACAACTAATTTCCAACAAAAGAACAAATCTGCCACACTAAATCTTCCCATTTTGCTGCTTCTTGTTCTGATTATTTGGACATTCTTCGGTAACGTGTTAGTGCTAATTGCGGTGTATAGAGAAAGAGGGTTGAAATCTATGTCTAATTATGTGATAGCAAGTCTTGCTCTTGCTGACCTGCTACTGGCTGTGCTCGTCATGCCTCTCGGCCTCGTATCTCTGGTAAGTTTAAACACTGTTTTGTCGTTTCACTATTCTTCATTGCAATTCTGATCCTTAAATTTAAAGCATATGTTCTTCCCTTGTTGTGGGCTTGTACGTGCACTATGTTGTGATGAAATGGAGCAAAATCTGTCTGAAGTATCATTTTCTCCCCGTCTTGGAACGATGAACCTGTCAAAGTGCGTGAGATCACGACCCATTGGAGAAATGCAGGAGATATTTTATCCCCCGAAGCAACATACGATAAACTGTCGTGGGGGTACCACAATAGTTTATCATATGTTGCTTTCAGCACGTTTGTATACTTACATTAACAAGGTCAACTCAACTGCATGGGCGCGCGTACACTAAGTGCTGCACACGGTTCTAAATCTGAATATACTATGACTATCTGATCCGTGCATTGGAAATAGAGGGCGACTTGTTTCGTTCAGGTATGCAGTCTTTTAGCATACCGATGCTCCCTTCCTTAAAGTCTCGTCATTTCATACATTTACCACGACACATGGAATCATGGAATCCTTCTGTAGAGATGACTGAATCGCATCGGCTTAAAGCATGATTTTGCGATAGCTGTGTTGTTACAACTTTCACCAACTGTCACAAAGTTGAGAAATGTTATTTAAAAATTCCAAACCGTAGCTTTAACGACTTCGAGCAGCACAAACGGAATGTCGTATTGACTGGGCATTTGTGTAGTTAGTTTTATATACATCAATTATTCTCATATTCATTGTAGTTATTGAGTGGGTGAATTGACATTTCTCATTAAAATCTACACTATAAAATGCGTATTTCCTGGAGTAATTCGATGCATTACGACGCGCGTCCCTATAGTAGATTCAGCCATTTTCGAAGCTTGATTACGGATTATCGATTGGCTAGTCTATTGGCTAGCCAGTTTTCACTGCAGGAGGGGTTTTAATACTAACGTAATACGAATCTTTGAAAATTACTCAACTGGGCACATTATTACGTGTTGTCTCATTCCGATCCAAAGCAAATTTAAGAACCCCTTGTCATTCTCTGTAAATCGTTTAAGTGTAGAGTCAGAAGCTCCAATTAAGCCCCGTATTTGCTCCGGTATGGTCTGTCAATCCTGTGTGGATTTTGGATATAAAAGCATAAAGATGTACGTTAAAACAGACCGGATATACTTTGTAAAATGTGCACTGAAATCCCATGGAGTGTTGAATTGCACTTCTAAAATGTTGAATGTGTTCATTAGCTCTCCACTTCCTGAGAACAGTGACGTCATGACAGCGTATTACACTGCAAAAACGCTGGGCAATTCTTTAATGTGGGTACCAGATGAATTTCTTACGTTTTGGGCAAAAAGAGCATAAAACTGGATAGAAAAATGGTTGTACGAATAACGTTTCTTCAGCCAGTGGGTAAAATGAGACTGGTTTGCCTATATATCTGGAGAGAGTCAACGCAGTTGGGTAATCAGTTTGCCCAACAGCTATAGGCGAATCACTTGATAGGCCTACTCAACGCTACGCCAGAAAAAAATGTCCAGCGTTTTTAAAGCTATTATTTGTTTTCTCAGCCTAATACGGTATATATGACTCATTTGGAACGAACATTAAATTTAATATACGACGCAGACTGTTGCTAGACTTGTGAAAGCACTTAAATATATAGATTTACATGATTACAGCTTTCTAGGAATTTTCTTATGTGCATCGCTGACATGTAATTTGTCAAAATTGAAAAAAACTGTCATGGTGGACTGAAATTGGAGAAAACGAGTTCACCTGCAATTAATTCGTCCAAACCATTATATGCACTAAGTAATGTGTCTGTTTTGCAATGGAATTCACTCGTGAGGATTTTTCTCATTTGATACTGGCGGGGAGCTCTACTCTCAGCGTCCTGATTTGGCCTGGTATGCCAAAGTTGAACGTGCCCAAACAAGAAAAGAACAAAGAAAAGGTTTTTTTTTCATTGAGAATTTAAAAACCAATAAAATTACTTTATGAAGATTTCAATTCCCTTTACGTCATAACCGCAGAAAGTAATTCCATCTCTCTACTGGCATGCCGCGGCACCTGTCGCAAGGCATTAGTTGTGATTATGTGCAATGCACCCCCACAATAAGATAATAATGAAAGTACGAATTGTGCCTCGTCACCACCTGTCTTGACATAAGTCAGTTTATATTTTCCGATTGAGATACGCCGTGATGTTGATCGTGAATGAAATCGTAGGACGATTTCTACACTGAAAAAAAATCGGTTTTTAGGGAATTTCCTGGCAGTTTGGACGCCAGAATTACTCTGTAAAAATAACTGGGTATTGTAAAATTACGCACGTAGAACGGAAGCGTATAAGGGCCACTTGCAATTTTTCCAGTTACTATCTCGCCGCAGCGCCTTGAATCGTTGAATGAGTATCTCGCCGCGGCGAGTTATACGTTCTCGCCGCGGCGTGAAATTGAAATCCCGCCGCTTCAAGTACTTCGGTGATTTTATAAATCTTATTTAGCTTGTCATCATACTCATGTATAATCAGGCTAGAAGTGAAATTGGGTTTCAGGTTGCTTTAAACAAAGTTTGATTCAACCAAGCTTGATTCCCATCACAAAAGAAAACAAAAGAAATCTATTTTGGGAGTATGAATAGCCATATTTGGAAGTGGGGTAGATTACTTTGACTCCTTGGTAGACTGCCTGTTGAAAGGATTACGATGGCTTTTTATTTATACATATACAAATAACCCTATTTACGTATGCACCGCAAGGGGTATCCTGAAAAGGGGGGAAGCCAAAGAAATTAAATTTAGAAATGAAACAGAACATAATTATTTGCTTGAAAAAAAATCGACTCCCCCTCCCGCAATTAAAAGTTACTGTTTTAACTAGATTTTTACCCCCCCCCCGCCCCAAAAAAATTCTGGCGACGCTAATGCATATTTTCAGCCAATCTGCTTTGCCATTTTGGACCAAACCTCGATGTTGATATCATTGTAAGGTTAAATTTGCTATGATTCAGGAGATATTAACAGACAACAAGAAAAATAAAGTGAAGGTGAAGGGAAAACTAACACATTTTTTAATCAACTGTATTGAAATCCCCAGGCTCTTTGAACTCGAATCCATGCGGTCAATCGTCACAAAGCACCCATACAGTGCAGGCACTGGAAAGGCAAATACATAACGTGTTTTTTGTAGAGAACTTAGGCCCGCTTCAAACGTCGACCTTCTGCCGTGTCTAATTCAAATAATGACCAAAAATTTGAATTAGACAGGGCAAAAATTAGACGTTTGAAGCAACTGCCGGATTTCTGCCGAAAGTTCGACAGGTCTTGCCGCTATTAACGGCAGAAGAGCGGCACGGTTTCAAATGTCGAATTTCTGCCATGTCTAATTCAATTCAAACGTCCCAACTCGAAACATCATCAGGGTCATTTTAAAATGCGCATGCGCCCACAACAGCTGTTTTCGTTTTGGCGTTGAAACAAGATGGCGGCGCACCAACACCTGTCTTTTCCGCTACAGTATAATTGTAGTCACCTCTGGATAGTCTGTAAAGACAATTCCTAAGCTGTGCCTTGGAGATATGGGGATTTCTGTTACTGTGTTCCGCTCCAAATCATGTTTTATGTGTGACAGGATGAATTCAAAACACGAAATGCCCTTTTGAATCTTTTCTCAGAGTTTGTATTAAGCATCAACTCTAGCCAACCTGTATCTTGACCAACCGTCGACAAGACCAGGGTCTTGTAACATTTTCCCTGGAAAGGAGGAGTAGCAGGACCAGTGAACATACGATCTGAACTCTCCTTGTTGCAATATTATTGAGTAGTACTGATTGCTGGAAGAAAAAGCGTCTTCCTCTCGCAATGAGAATATGTTACAATATTCTCATGTTTCTCGGTCTGCCATCATGGTTGTAATTTTGCATTAAGGTCAACAGAAAACCGGCGTTTGGAACAACTGCCGAACTTCTGCCGTTTTTATGTTGATCGCAATTAATTGAATTAGACAGGGCAGAAGTTCGACGTTTGAAGCGGACCTTATTGAAAGGAGTTTATTTTAACATCTGGACACGGGTCGCCACTTCCGGCCTGGTGCGCATGACACGTGTGCACTTATAATATATATTTGGAGATTAGAGCACTGAGTTACCTACAGTGCTTTGGGCGTCCAAAGCTGTGAGGTATTTCATGCGCTGCGTTTGTAAAAGTACTGTCTTCGATCTCCATTCTAAATACTATAAATTAATAAATTTCTACTGTTAAAAGTTCAAATGTAACTTTCAAATCTGCTTGCTTCTATTTGGCACTTGAAAATGTAAGAAGGCATTAAAAGCAGCCTACCCCTCCGATCTGAGTGTGAAAATTCACACCACAAAATAAGATTTCTTGTGTATTGGAAAAACAAACTTTGTTGAAAGGTAACATCCCTTTTGTTCCAATTACCAATCTAAACCCAATTCTCACTGCATTTCACCTGAAAGATACATTTGAAAACGGCTCGCTGAATAGGACTTTTGAAACATTCGCTGCGGCGGGATGTCAATTTGACGCTGCAAAATCTTATAACTTGTCGTGGCGATATAGTAACTCCAAAAAATGTGTCTGCAAGTGGCCCTTAAACGCTTCCGTGCACACGTACCGTTAAATTGCAGTACAAAATAACGGCCCCGCTGTTGTAATTTTACATTGATGGTTTATAAAAAATGTGGCGGCCATTCAGTAAATTTTCGTCCATTTGTTTTTAAATATACAACATGTCATTTCTATCTTTACGGTAATGGCCGTATGAAATTGCTGCTTCAGTAACGTAACTTCTCGTTACGTCCTGTAAATTAACAACCCTTATGTTAGTTAAAGAACATAACCAGTTCAGTGTACCCAAGGGTTCAACCTGTCATTTTACACAGTTCTTGGGATGACATTACAAGTTAAAATTACACAAGTAGCCTTTAATATCAGTGTCCTAGTTATGTAATTTCACGTTCAAGTTTAGTAGAATAATAGAAATTACGGTGGTG